CAGCAGCAGCCTCTCTGATCCTCTCTGTGGTGTTTCACCTGTCCAGGTGTGCCGCCTGGGGAAGTGTGTGAAGGAGGACCTGCTGGCGGCGGCGGCGGTGAGGGACTGCTACCCGTCCTGGATGGACATCCTGAACGTCTACGGCGGACTCTACCACCAGGCCTTCGCCGCCCGCCTGGCCCAGCTCTCCTCCTCCGAGCTGGACCTGGACGACTGCAGCTACCTGCTGTTCTGGGTCAACCACTACTATCCTGAGTCAGTTTCCATGGCAAACGTTCATGCTGTCGCCTCCAAATGAGGCGTTATTTGTTTCCTGCACATAGTCCTCCTAATACTGATATCGTCACTAAATCGGACGCTGTGCTAACCCTAAAATGCTATCCCTAAAATGCTAACCCTAAAATGCTAACCCTAAAATGCTAATCAAAAACAATAGTTCACTAAACAGAAAAGCTTTTTGTCAAAACCAAAATCTCGACACAGACGTCAAACAACTGAACTGAAAGGTTGTGAAGGAATCAATTTATCCAGGAAGTTGCTCTCAGTGTTCAGAGGTTTTAGTGTCGTTTCCTTCAGTGGTTCTTGGTGCAGCGCCCCCACAGGCCAGGAGGGGAACAGCTTGGTTTGAATCACAACCACAGCAGCTGGAGGTGGAGCAGACGGAGTTCTGGTCCAAACTTTAAACCAAGGCTATCAGAGTATCAGAAGGAAAACACCTGCAGTTTGTTGGTTTCAAACCAAAGAGGCACCAGAACAAATATCACATCCTGACTGCAACTCGTTGGTCTTCAGTCAGGTTTCAGTTTAATCTTTTAGAGTCGCTTCTCCTGGGGTCATGAGATGAACTGAATGTAATTATAAACTTCCCCAGACTATAAAGCTATAAAGCTGCATGAAGTTTCGGAACCTTCTGGATCTTTGTCCCCTGGTTTATTCTGGAGGTTTTGGTGGCTCACAGGTCAGCCGTCCGTTCGCTGGGCGTCAGCCGTCCGTTCGCTGGGCGTCAGCCGTCCGTTCGCTGGGCGTCAGCCGTCCGTTCGCTGGGCGTCAGCCGTCCGTTCGCTGGGCGTCAGCCGTCCGTTCGCTGGGCGTCAGCCGTCTCTGTGTGTGGAATCCCATTTGGTCGTTAACATCCTGATTTCCACCAGGATTGGATTTGTTTTTGCCGTGAGTCACTCCGTCCTCACAGCCTTCCTGCTTCACAGCAACCTGGGATTTGGTCTTTAGTGAACTTATTCATGACTTCCTCTCTTTGGCTCAGGAAATTTCTGTGCCTGATGATTGTTAATGTGCCAAGTGACATTTTTAGGCTCTTTAGCTGAAAAACTGAAACATAGACATGAATAATTTATGTCAATTATTGATGTATCTAATTTAGCCGAACTGACGGCAGCAGAGCTTCGGTCTGAAAGCATCCAGGAGATTTTAAACTATTGTAGGCCTGAATAAAAGTAAATCGCTAAACAACCCAGAGTTATATAGCAAACTTAAAGTTTACAGAACAGCCAAGTAACAGACAGTTAAACACAGAAGCTCTGAGCAAGAAACTTTCTATGGAAATAAAAAATGTAATTAGTGAAGGGCAGCAGTAATAATGATGTTTTCTGTCTAATGAATAAAAACAACCAAACAGCAGCAAAGTGAAGCAACAAATCCAAAATGTTAAAATGTTTTTGGTGTTTTTCTGCAGAACTTTGTTTCATCTTAATCTTGTGAGTTTGTTGTTGGATCCTGCAGTGAAATCATGAAACTCAAAGAGCTGGACGGGATCAAGACGGCATGTCTGGGTTCTCTGCTGCTGCCGGACAATCTGAGGCGACTGGAGGAACAGTACATGAGCCACAGACAGGTAAACTACAGACAGGTAAACTACAGACAGGTAAACCACAGACAGGTAAACTACAGACAGGTTAAACCACAGACAGGTAAACTACAGACAGGTTAAACCACAGACAGGTAAACTACAGATAGGTAAACTACAGACAGGTAAACTACAGACAGGTAAACTACAGACAGGTAAACTACAGACAGGCAAACCACAGACAGGTAAACCACAGACAGGTAAACTACAGACAGGTAAACTATAGACAGGTTAAACCACAGACAGGTAAACTACAGATAGGTAAACTACAGACAGGTAAACCACAGACAGGTAACTACAGACAGGTAAACTATAGACAGGTTAAACCACAGACAGGTAAACTACAGACAGGTAAACTACAGACAGGCAAACCACAGACAGGTAAACCACAGACAGGTAAACTACAGGCAGGTTTAACCACAGACAGGTAAATCACAGACAGGTAAACTACAGACAGGTAAACTACAGACAGGTAAACTGCGGACAGGTAAACCACAGACAGGTAAACCACAGACAGGTAAACTACAGATAGGTAAACTACAGACAGGTAAACCACAGACAGGTAAACTACAGACAGGTAAACTACAGACAGGTAAACCACAGACAGGTAAACTACAGACAGGTAAACTACAGACAGGTTAAACCACAGACAGGTAAACTACAGACAGGTTAAACCACAGACAGGTAAACTACAGATAGGTAAACTACAGACAGGTAAACCACAGACAGGTAACTACAGACAGGTAAACTACAGACAGGCAAACCACAGACAGGTAAACCACAGACAGGTAAACTACAGGCAGGTTAAACCACAGACAGGTAAACTACAGACAGGTAAACCACAGACAGGCAAACCACAGACAGGTAAACCACAGACAGGTAAACTACAGACAGGCAAACCACAGACAGGTAAACTACAGACAGGTAAACCACAGACAGGCAAACCACAGACAGGTAAACCACAGACAGGTAAACTACAGACAGGCAAACCACAGACAGGTAAATCACAGACAGGTAAACTACAGACAGGTAAACTACAGACAGGTAAACCACAGACAGGTAAACTAAAGATAGGTAAACTACAGACAGGTAAACCACAGACAGGTAAACTACAGACAGGTAAACTACAGACAGGCAAACCACAGACAGGTAAACCACAGACAGGTAAACTACAGGCAGGTTAAACCACAGACAGGTAAACTACAGACAGGTAAACCACAGACAGGCAAACCACAGACAGGTAAACCACAGACAGGTAAACTACAGACAGGCAAACCACAGACAGGTAAACTACAGACAGGTAAACCACAGACAGGCAAACCACAGACAGGTAAACCACAGACAGGTAAACTACAGACAGGCAAACCACAGACAGGTAAATCACAGACAGGTAAACTACAGACAGGTAAACTACAGACAGGTAAACCACAGACAGGTAAACTACAGATAGGTAAACTACAGACAGGTAAACCACAGACAGGTAAACTACAGACAGGTAACTACAGACAGGTAAACCACAGACAGGTAAACTACAGACAGGTAAACTACAGACAGGTAAACTGCGGACAGGTAAACCACAGACAGGTAAACTACAGATAGGTAAACTACAGACAGGTAAACCACAGACAGGTAAACTACAGACAGGTAAACTACAGACAGGCAAACCACAGACAGGTAAACCACAGACAGGTAAACTACAGGCAGGTTAAACCACAGACAGGTAAACTACAGACAGGTAAACCACAGACAGGCAAACCACAGACAGGTAAACCACAGACAGGTAAACTACAGACAGGCAAACCACAGACAGGTAAACTACAGACAGGTAAACCACAGACAGGCAAACCACAGACAGGTAAACCACAGACAGGTAAACTACAGGCAGGTTAAACCACAGACAGGTAAACTACAGACAGGTAAACCACAGACAGGCAAACCACAGACAGGTAAACCACAGACAGGTAAACCACAGACAGGCAAACCACAGACAGGTAAACCACAGACAGGTAAACTACAGACAGGCAAACCACAGACAGGTAAATCACAGACAGGTAAACTACAGACAGGTAAACAGACAGGTAAACTACAGATAGGTAAACTACAGACAGGTAACCACAGACAGGTAAACTACAGACAGGTAAACTACAGACAGGTAAACCACAGACAGGTAAACTACAGACAGGTAAACTGCGGACAGGTAAACCACAGACAGGTAAACCACAGACAGGTAAACTACAGATAGGTAAACTACAGACAGGTAAACCACAGACAGGTAAACTACAGACAGGTAAACTACAGACAGGTAAACCACAGACAGGTAAACTACAGACAGGTAAACTACAGACAGGTTAAACCACAGACAGGTAAACTACAGACAGGTTAAACCACAGACAGGTAAACTACAGACAGGTAAACTACAGACAGGTAAACCACAGACAGGTAAACTACAGACAGGTAAACTACGGACAGGTAAACCACAGACAGGTAAACTACAGACAGGTAAACTACAAACAGGTAAACCACATACAGGTAAACTGCAGACAGGTAAACTACAGACAGGTTAAACCACAGACAGGTAAACTGCAGACAGGTAAACTACAGACAGGTAAACACAGACAGGTAAACTACAGACAGGTTAAACCACAGACAGGTAAACTGCAGACAGGTAAACTACAGACAGGTAAACTACAGACAGGTAAACCACAGACAGGTTAAACCACAGACAGGTAAACTGCAGACAGGTAAACTACAGACAGGTAAATCACAGACAGGTTAAACCACAGACAGGTAAACTGCAGACAGGTAAACTACAGACGGGTAAACTACAAACAGGTAAACCACAGACAGGTAAACTGCAGACAGGTAAACTACAGACAGGTTAAACCACAGACAGGTAAACTACAGACAGGTAAACCACAGACAGGTTAAACCACAGACAGGTAAACTACAGACAGGTAAACTACAAACAGGTAAACCACAGACAGGTAAACTGCAGACAGGTAAACTATAGACAGGTAAAGGCGTCTGCACGGATCCCCAGCAGGCTTCAGCTCACTGAACTGTCATTTCAGGAAAAGGTGAAGCTGTGGCTCAGCATTGCTCTAAAGAAGGAGGAGGAGAGCTGGCTGAGTGGAAAAATGCCCGAACTGATCGACTGTTACTACTTCAGCCCGGGCCATCGATGTCATCCAGAGCGCAGGGACAGGTAACGCCGCTGGGCTTCAGTCAGCCGTTTCTGATGAAGCTTCCTGTCTGCAGGTGGTAAACAGTTCCCTAACTGAGTTCAGTTGTGCCATCAAAGACCAGAACAAGGCGCAGAGGCTTACGATTCACCTGGAGAACTTTTCTCAGCAGGTAAGCCACACCCACTGAACACAAGAACCAATCAGGTTACAGCTGCACTGTTTCACTAAGAAGTAAAAGCTTCATTGTCTTTCCTTTATTTATTAATGCTGACTTTGACTTAGCATAAGCTAATACTAAAGTACTTTACCAACATGCTAGCTGGCATAAGCTAATGCTAAGGTGTTAAACTAACATGCTATTTAGCAGAAGTGAAATAGTTTAAGAATGGAAAAATGTCATGATTCTTAGCTTTTACTTTGCATCGATTGTATTAATCTTTATGTTGATTGAGAAAACATGAACAATAATTATGCAAATATTTAACAAAAATATTTGGAATATTGATCAGATATTGTTAAAATATAAGTTGAAAGTACCTAAAAAATTGTGTGGCATTTTGGATCTTTGACAGCATTCAAACAGGAAGTGACATTCAGCACAAATCAGGAATTGAACCATTTACCTCTATGCCATGCACCACTTTTGAAGAAAAATCTAATTGAAGAAGTCTATATTTTGAGGAATTATTTCAATCTGTGCTTCAGTTTTTCTGGTTATTTCATTCTTTCATGTGTTTGTTTTGCAGCTACAGGAAGAGCGTTGAGGACCTGGTGAAGGCGAACCCCAGCAACCTGCATCCAGTGCTAAAAGCTACGCTGGTCTGTGAGCAGCAGCTCAGGTAAGCTCACACCTGCATCACGACTAGAGCTGCAGGGAATCTGCCCCAGAGCATTCTGGGAACTGTCACAGCTAAGCAGCGCCTCTCCTGTCCTCAGAGATTACATATCTGGTCAAGCTGAAGGTTTAGCTGAAGATCAGAAGCGCCGCTGTCTGGAAACGCTCTCTGCTCTCAGGGATTGTTGCTACCAGTGTTTGACCTTCCCTCTTCATGGCAAGATCAAGGTCAATCCCGTCTCTACTCAGAGAAACCTAAAAACTCTGCTGTGCTAATTATGCATATTAAATCTGCTAAACCAACACAGCATTAGCAGAAGCTAATGCTAAAGAGCAAGAACAACATGGTATGTAGAGGAAGCTAATGCAAAAATGCTAAGCTAATGCGGTATATAATGGAAGCTAAGTGCTACACATTTTCAAAATGAGCAAAACAATTATGTCCTAAATTAATAATTTGTTCCTCTATTTGTCCATTAGCAGAACCGCAAACGCCATCGCTATGGCAACTAGCAGAAATATGAGATCTGACCAATGATCTGGAACAGTAAACATTTTCTGCTTCAGTGGAACATCTTGTTCTGTTAGCAGGACAAACGTCTCTTTTGTTTTGATGTTCAGGCCTTCTTAAGTCCACTGTGGACGTCCGCCTGGGTGGACGGCTCGCTTCCTGTCGTCGACCAGCTGCTGAGCTTTCTGAAACAACAGCTGGCCGACCTGTCGGACCTGAAACCAGCCTGCAAACAGGTGAGACTCCACCGCGCTACACCTGTCTGCCTGCCCGCCTGTCCATCTGACCGCCCTCGTCTCTCAGCCTCTGGTCTGCGACCTCCACCAAGACCTGGTCGCTCAGTACGTGAAGAAGACGATGAAGACCAAGGCGAAGAGCAGACAGCAGCAGGTGGGCGGGTCCGAACGGATGGTGGAAGACGCCAAGAAGATGGACGACTTCTTCAGAGAGGAGGTCAGACACATAGCAACATGCCTAAAACCACAAGCTAACATGTCAGGCTAATGTATCAGGGTAACGCATCAGGCTAACACATCAGGCTAACACATCAGACTAAGGTATCAGGGTAACGCATCAGGCTAACACATCAGGCTAACACATCAGACTAAGGTATCAGGGTAACGCATCAGGCTAACACATCAGGCTAACACATCAGACTAAGGTATAGGGCTAACACATCAGGCTAACACATCAGACTAAGGTATAGGGCTAACGAATCAGGCTAAGGTATCAGGCTAACACATCAGGCTAAAGTATCAGGCTAACGCATCAGGCTAACACATCAGGCTAAGGTATAGGCTAACACATCAGGCTAACACATCAGACTAAGGTATAGGGCTAACGAATCAGGCTAAGGTATCAGGCTAACACATCAGGCTAAAGTATCAGGCTAACGCATCAGGCTAACACATCAGGCTAAGGTATAGGGCTAACGCATCAGGCTAACACATCAGGCTAAGGTATAGGGCTAATGCATCAGGCTAATGAATCAGGCTAAGGTATCAGGCTAACACATCAAGCTAAAGTAACAGGCTAACGCATCAGGCTAACACATCAGGCTAAGGTATAGGGCTAACGAATCAGGCTAAGGTATCAGGCTAACACATCAGGCTAAAGTATCAGGCTAACGCATCAGGCTAACACATCAGGCTAAGGTATAGGGCTAACGCATCAGGCTAACACATCAGGCTAAGGTATAGGGCTAACGCATCAGGCTAACGAATCAGGCTAAGGTATCAGGCTAACACATCAAGCTAAAGTAACAGGCTAACGCATCAGGCTAAGGTATAAGGCTAACGCAACAGGCTAAGGTATAGGGCTAACACATCAGGCTAACACATCAGGCTCAGGTATTAGGCTAACGCATCAGGCTAACACATCAGGCTAAGGTATAGGGCTAACGCAACAGGCTAACACATCAGGCTAAGGTATAGGGCTAACACATCAGGCTAACACATCAGGCTCAGGTATTAGGCTAACGCATCAGTCTAACAAATCAGGCTAACACATCAGGCTAAGGTATCAGGCTAACACATCAGGCTAAGGTATCAGGCTAACGCATCAGGCTAACACATCAGGCTAAGGTATCAGGCTAACGCAGCAGGCTAAGGTATCAGGCTAACGCAGCAGGCTAAGGTATCAGGCTAACGCATCAGGCTAACACATCAGGCTAAGGTATCAGGCTAACGCATCAGGCTAACACATCAGGCTAAGGTATCAGGCTAACGCATCAGGCTAACACATCAGGCTAAGGTATCAGGCTAATGCATCAGGCTAAGGTATCAGGCTAACGCATCAGGCTAACGCATCAGGCTAAGGTATCAGGCTAACACATCACGCTAAGGTATCAGGCTAACGCATCAGGCTAAGGTATCAGGCTAACGCATCAGGCTAAGGTATCAGGCTAACGCATCAGGCTAAGGTATCAGGCTAACGCATCAGGCTAACGAATCAGGCTAAGGAACACCAGCATGTTAACACCAGATGCTTTATTATTCTCAAGCTTCTCTATGTGTGTAGCATACCTGCTAACATTAGCATCATTTGTTATCAGGGTTATTATGGCTGATTTTAACTTTAGAGGAGCAGCAAACTAAAAACATTATTTGAATTTTGAAAAACAAAGTGGCATTTAATTTAGCTTTATTGATTGATTTGGACATGCACATTAATCATCATTTCCACAGAGAGATTTATTAAAAGACAAAATATGAACACATTTACAGTATAAATTCATCAGTATTGTGTCAGTACTCAGAACTGGTCGTCGTGTCTCAGGGCTGCAGTTCGTGGCTCTCTGAAATGCTCTGCAGCGTCGCTGAGATTCTCCGTCTGCAGGATCCATCCAGCGTTCACCTGGAGGTCGTGGATCTGGCCCGAAGGTTCCCGGACTTCAGGTACCGCTCACAGAGGGGGAGGAACTAGTCATATTTACTGGAGTAACTGTTTCTTCAAACAAATATTTTCAGGAGTATTCCGACTTTGCTGTACCTGAGTAATTTTATTATGAAGTTTAATTTCTCTACTGTAGTAAACTTACAGATTTTCTTCCCACTGAATGAAAAAAAAATGTTTTAACTCAAACCTGCAGCTTCTCATAAAGTTTCAGAAGGTTTTTATTGAAAGAAAATTATTTTACTTGATTTTATTTTTTGTTACTTTTATGAATTATGAATTGTCATTTTGGTAATTAAAACTCCAAAATTGACTCTTAACTTTATATTTTGGGTCATAGGATGATGTAATTTTTAATTAATAAATATTAATCATTTGATCAGTTAAATTTTTAACTTTACCAAATACTTTATCTTACTTGAGTAAAACTAAGTTGGAGTATCTGAACTCTTAGTAGTTTTTGGATCCTGTGTTCAGCTCTGGTTTCAGCTTGACGTTCTGCTGAGTCATTTCTGCTGAGTCATTACTGCTGAGTCGCTATCCGTGCGTCTCGCAGCAGAGCATTTGTTCTGCGAGTCGCTCAGAGGGTCCCGAGGTTTAACTCTGACGTGAAGCGGCCGCAGTCGGATCGTAAATGTTCGCTTTCGTAACGAGGAACAATGGCTTTCTGTTTCCCAATGCATGCTGGGTAAGGAAGAACTCGGCCTCTGACCACAGGCTGCAGAGAGACGCTGTTGGGAAAATTAGGCAACGCTGAGCAATCTGAGCAACGCTGAGGTCTGCAGGGATCAGATGCAGATTTATTCAGTTTTAGAATCTGAATCCACACCAACTTTATTTATAAAGCACTTTAAAACAACCACAGCTGAAACAAAGTGCTGTACATGAAATAGATAAAAACAAAAACAGTTCAAAACAACAAACATACAAATATAAAACTAGATCTTGCTGGAGTTGAAAGCCAAGTAAAATAAACTGGTTTTAAGACGAGCTTTAAAATGTTTATATTTGGGCTTCAGAACCAAACATGGAGGAGCAACACTCAGCTTCTGTGCACCACAGATCTGGAACAAACCTCTAGAAAACTGAAACCCTGAGTTCCTTTAAATCTAAGAGCCAATCTGTTCCAGCTGCTTTTCACCGCAATAAATATCAAATATTTGATATTTGATTTGATGATGGCGCTCATCGGAAGGTCTCTGCTTTTGTTTCCGAGCGTTTGTTATGGAAACGCAGCTTTTGACGCCCTTCCTTCTCTACATGCCATTAACATGTTCAACGTTTTAGTTTTCCATTTTAATAATCTGTAATAAATCATCTGTCCTGGTGCCACACCTGACACCAGGTACCTGTGTGTGGCAGCTTGTTGTGCTGCAACCCGAGTCTTCCTGGTTCCGCTGGGAAGGGCGGGTCCGCTCCGGCCAGAGGAAAAGTACTGAGCGGCGCTGGGTGGGGATCGGGTTCTGGATGCTTCCAGCGGTTTGGTTCACCTGCTCAGGTGTCGCTACGCTGCGTGTCAGACTTCAGATTCATCGCTTTAACAGATGAAGTGATGAAGCTGTCCCACTAGAGACGACTAGATCTAGAGCGGCTAGAGACGACTAGACCTAGAGCAGATAGAGACGACCAGATCTAGAGCGGCTAGAGATGAACTAGATCTAGAGCAGCTAGAGATGAACCAGATCTAGAGCGGCTAGAGATGAACTAGATCTAGAGCAGCTAGAGATGAACCAGATCTAGAGCGGCTAGAGATTAACTAGATCTAGAGCAGCTAGAGACGACTAGATCTAGAGCAGCTAGAGACGAACTAGATCTAGAACAGCTAGAGATTAACTAGATCTAGAGCGGCTAGAGATAAACTAGATCTAGAGCGGCTAGAGATAAACTAGATCTAGAACAGCTAGAGATTAACTAGATCTAGAGCGGCTAGAGATAAACTAGATCTAGAGCGGCTAGAGATGAACTAGATCTAGAGCGGCTAGAGATAAACTAGATCTAGAGCAGCTAGAGATAAACTAGATCTAGAGACGACTAGATCTAGAACAGCTAGAGAAGAACCTGATCTAGAGCGGCTAGAGACAACTAGATCTAGAGCAGCTGGAGATTAATCAGATCTAGAGCAACTAGAAATGAACTAGATCTAGAGCAGATAGAGATTAACTAGATCTAGAGCGGCTAGAGATAAACTAGATCTAGAGCGGCTAGAGATGAACTAGATCTAGAGCGGCTAGAGATGAACCAGATCTAGAGCGGCTAGAGATGAACCAGATCTAGAGCGGCTAGAGATGAACTAGATCTAGAGCAGCTAGAGATGAACTAGATCTAGAGCAGCTAGAGATAAACTAGATCTAGAGCGGCTAGAGATGAACTAGATCTAGAGCGGCTAGAGATGAACTAGATCTAGAGCAGCTAGAGATGAACTAGATCTAGAGCAGCTAGAGATGAACTAGATCTAGAGCAGCTAGAGATAAACTAGATCTAGAGCTAGCCTAGTTTTGGCACATTTCCAAACTTCAACCATCTGGATCTGAACTTCTGGATCTTCTCCACATCATGATGCTGTTCAGAAATTATTTAGAAATGTTGGCAAAAATTTGTGTAAATCTAAAATTTTCCTTCAGGTTCCTGTGATGGAGCCAGTTTCCTGACCTCTGACCCTGTTAAATTAAAATGTTTAAACATCTTAGTTTTTGGATTTGTTGCAGTTTTGTGTTGCAACCTGGAATCAAAACGACTCAGATAAACTATTAAAAGCCCAAAATATGAAGAAACTTCCCCTTTTCTCCAGGCTGCTTCAGGCTTCATGCTCAGCTGGTTGTCATATGTGGGTCAGAAAACATCTTATGAATTTTCCTCCCATTCTGGCCACGACTGCAGATTTTTGGGCCTTTAGTCAGAAAAATGAGCCAAAAACACTGAAGTCCTTCTGGCAGGAGAACCTGAGCCGATAGTCTGAAGTCGGTGAATTAATCAAACTTCCAGGGAGAAGAAAATATTAAGTTCAACTAAACAGGACAGAGAGTAGAAGCACATAGAAAATATGAAAAATATTTTTGAAAAGTGATTTTTGAAAATCTTTTTTCTGATAAATTATTTGTGTGATTGTCATCAGCGGCGCTCACGTCTCGGCGTTGCTGTCGCTGAAGTTCGGCCTTTCGGCGGCGGACGTCCGGTCCATCAGAGCCAGCGTGGAGGAGAACCGCCCCCAGGACGCCTCAGCCAATCAGAACCCTCTGTTCTTCTCCAGGGTTAAAGTCAAATGGATCAATAACAAGATCAACCAGATGGCGATCAAGAGTTAAAACAGTGTGGCTCAATGCTAATGTTAGCATGTTACCATAGCTTGTCGTTTCAGATCATCTGCATGGCGTCTACAGTAAACATTAGCTTAGTGATGCTAACATGTTAGCCAGTTGTTTAGAAGTTTAAAAAGGTAGACTTGCTGCATTAGAAAGCCATCTGGTGTTCATCAGGGCTCAGCTCTCGGTACCTTTCAGTTCTCCTTTTATTACTATTTAAGTGTTGGAAAATGTGTCGTATTGAAGCTAACTCTGCAACCAGACTCACTTTAAATCCATCCAGCTTCCTGCTGCTTAACAAAACCCTAAAGTATTGAATGTTTTAAGGTTGTGCAGAATGTTTTTAATATGCATAGAAACTGAGACATGTAGCTGTTACTGTAGTCATTTGAATAAATGTATTTATTCAGCAGAACTCTGGATGTTTTAACTCATTTCTCCAAAAATGAAGAAATACTTAAAATAATAATTTGTTTTTTTTTACAGAAACATCATTGAAGTTTTAGATTTAGAGATTTTTTCTGGAGGAAAAACATCACATGTTAAGAAATGAAGGTTTTTGTTTTGTTTTTTTTTTAATCAAAATCATTGTTATATTTGGTTTTTAAGATAGATGTAAAAACCAACAAGTTGATCAAATTCAAGTACTGAAAATATGCATTCATATGTATTCATGTGTATAACTGATTAAATAATGCATGTTTCTAACGGACAAAATGTACTTTTTCTTCAAATATTTGTGCTATCCTTTGTTTAATGTGTTCAGATTAAAACCAGAAAGACAGCAAGTAAAGCAGAAACTGAGTGGATAACTATCGCCCTCTGCTGGTTGGAGACAGAACCGTTAGGAATCTGGGTTTATCTTGAAGGATCGACCAAGAAGAATCCTCTTTAAAGAGGGAAAACTAGACTTTAAGGAACTTAAATGTAAACTACTTTGTTTTTTCTTAGATGGTTTTCTTGATTTATTTGATTAAGAAAATTGCAGTTTTCTTTTTAACTGCTTTATTAAATCGTCTTCAGTCAGTTGTCCTTTATATGGAGCTTTTTCCTGTTTATTTAAGGACACATCTGACACCATACGGGTATATATTCTTTTTTTCATAATTACTTCAGTAAGTAGTGTGTGTGTTTAAAGGAATAGTTTAAACCATTTGATCTTCACAAAGTTTTTTCAGTTTCTGGTTTTCAGGCTGGCCATTTTTCATTCTTCATCATTTTCTATTTAGGCTCTGCTCTCATTAAAACAACTTAATTTCTCGTAATTCTACATCTTTGTTCTGTGAATATTAGGACTTTATTGTCATAATATTGACTTTATAAATATACATCTCAGTCGCGCCCCTGTCCGTGGGGTTCAACGTCATCCCGACGTTTTTTCTAGTCACCCTAGTAACAACAAACGCTGCTGCTGGACCTCATCAACCAATCATATTACACGTAGCGTCTGACGTCACTTGCCGTCAGCGCGTAGGGTTGGGTTAGTCCACCATCTTGGCTCAGGCTAGCTGATTCCTAGCTGAGAGTATGAGGAGAATCCAACAGAACCAAATTCCACCCGAACCGACCGAACCAGGACTGTCTCACCAGGCGGACCGGAGCTAGAGGCCGGCGGCTCGAGCCGGACCTCCTCTCTCCCCGAAATAAAGTCCCAGCACCGGGAAGCGTCGGACTGCTAACTCCCCGGCTAACTTCGGCGTTAAAGAGGAACTGTTGCTCCGGTTCCGTTTGGATCCATGACAGTTATAAACTTCCGGAAAAGGATCCGATCCGAGCCGGGACAGGTAACCCAGGACAGAGACAGGTGATGCCGCGAGGGAGTTCGTTGAGATAGAACCGAACCGAAGCCGGAGCAGCACGTCACTTTCCGACCCGCTAAGTTTGAGACAGGTGTTGCGGAGCGGCGGCGGCTTCATGACCGGACCTCCGTTACACTGACTGGGGTATCATGTCCACCAGGACCCCTCTGCCCACCGTCAACGAGCGGGACACCGAACAGGTGGGTCAGAACCGAAACGCCTCCAAACTTTTTCCTCTTCAGCTGAATCATCTGATTTCCGAGCATCAGGGAGGAAACGGCTGTCAGGAGCGTTTCCGGTGTTTGCTGGAACATTTCCAGCCCCAGTGGGAGTCCTGAGGGTCCGAACCGGAGCCTGGAGGTTCGGTCCGGATCCATTTGATCACAACTCCCAGATCTGTCACTCCAAAATCTGCCAGGGACTAAGAATCTGATCCAGAGTGTTTATTCCAGCCTGTTCCAGCTTTACCAAGGGTGTCAAAACTTTCCTAGCACTCTTCTAGTAGTTCAAAGTGTTTTGATCTCTCTGAGTTTCCATAGCAACTGTTGCTGTGCACTGCCAGTCAGCTGGCTGAAAGGACACGATAAGATACATTTGACTTGTCTGAGACACATAGAGCTGCCTGTTCTAATAGTTAAAATATCAAATCTTCTCAATACGTATTAATACATACAGTGGAAAACATTTTTGGTAGCAAACACTTTCTGCTCTGTGGCTTTAGCCAATTAGCTCCTGCATTGGCTGCTCTTGAATCATTTAAAATCTAAACTGGCTGCTGGCAGAAAGTATAGAGTCGTCAACTGATGACATCAGCTCTTCTGATGGTTTCCACAAGCAGAGCATATGTGAGGTCACACACTAATGTTGGATAAGAAGGTTAAGAGTTTCAGTTCCTCTGGATAAGCCTGAATATTTGTTAAAACTCTGTAGTAATGGTGACCACAGATATAAAGAAACAATCTGTAATAAATAAAACAAAGGAACTTTCCCAGGAATCTTTTGGAGTTGCTCAAAAGAAATAAAAACTGACATGGGAACCGCTGGCAGGTGGTTGACTTTATTGTTGTGACAAACACTGGAGTCTTAAAGGAACATTGTCGTTTTTCTGTTTGGCAGCAGACTGTAGGCTAAATACTGATCGTTATTAGTTTTATTCTCAACCAGTCTTAATAATTTGAACAGTTATATTTACCGGAAAAACAATCAGAGTTGTTCCGTATTGAGAACATCTTTGAGATATTATCCAGAAATACTTCAGTGTGGGGTGTGCTGTGGTGGCGCAGGGGTTAGCACGCCCTACGTTTGGAGGCCTCAGTTCTCGATGCAGAGGTCGTGGGTTCGACTCCCGGGCCTGGCGACCTTTGCCCCATGTCTTCCTCGGCCTCCTTCCTGTCAGTCTACTGTTAAAGATACGAGCCACTAGCGCCGCTAAAAACTCTTCAGAGAAAAAAGAGAAATACTTCAGTGATGATTTTAAATATGATGAGCCAACATTTTCTTCACTGCTGTTTTTGCTTTCTGATTTTTATCAGATATTTTCATAAAGAAGTTCTGTGATTGCTAAATTTTTCTGATATTATGACTAGTTATGATTCATTGTGTTGCACAGCTTTTGCTGTAATCACAGTTGTGTTATTTTTGGAGAAGGAAATGTTGCTTCTCTGCTTTACACAAAAGCAAATAGATTATGTTATAGATTTTTATTTTAAACAAATTCTTATTCAGGATTATCAGACATAATAATTTCCAATAGGCATAAAATCTACAGTCAAGACAAATGGATATTTATTTACTAATTTCAGGTATCTTAACCTAAAACCAAAACATTAAAGAAGTTATTCTTCTGTCTGATGACAAAACATGTTTTGATATTTATATTGGTATTTATATTATGATTCAGACATAAATCTGTTTTTAATAAGACAGTTTTTAAGGCCTCTAATGTTACCATGCTAGTTTTTCTGGATAAAATAATCTGTCACTGCCATCTCTAAATCATAAATGAGTAAACATAGTAAACCATAATTTAATGAGGATCAAACTGTCTTGATAAATTTGAATAATTTCAAATCTTGTACTCTGACTCTTCCCTCCTCTTGTGCCTGTTCTCCTGGTCCTTCTCGGTTCCCAGCTGCTCTGCAGAGTCACATCAACCTGGATAAAGTTCCAGGCTGACAGAAAGGTCCAAACAGTTTGGATTCTGGTTGACCCATGTTGTTTTGCTTCCTTGTTTCCCAGCATGCACCTGGGGAAGACGGGCGCGGTGAGGCGATGCCCATCCCAGTCCGCTCCGCTCGCTGTAAGAACGCCGCCGCCATCACTGCGGACGACTCGCCGCACGTGGGCAACTACCGACTGCTGAAGACCATCGGGAAGGGAAACTTCGCCAAAGTGAAGCTGGCCCGGCACATCCCGACGGGCCGCGAGGTGAAACCGGGCCGGACGCAGTTCTGGGACACGCGCCAGAACCGACACCTGTTCTGACCCGTATCTTTACCTTTCAGGTCGCGATCAAGATCATCGACAAGACTCAGCTGAACCCAACCAGCCTGCAGAAGGTGAGACTAGCATCAGAACCAGAACTGGGTCTGTTGGATTTAACGTCCTGCTGTGTTTCTGTCTCAGCTGCTCAGAGAGGTTCGCATCATGAAGAACCTGAACCACCCCAACATCGGTGAGTCCCACCTGGATCCGCCAGGTCCAACAGGTTCTGGTTCTGCTGGGCCTCAGCTGGGCCTCTGGTACCGTTTTAAAGCCTGTCCTACCTGTCTGCAGTGAAGCTGTTTGAGGTCATAGAAACGGAGAAGACGCTCTACCTGGTGATGGAGTACGCCAGCGGAGGTCTGTCACCTGCAGACACACCTGGATTAAAGCCAAACACCTGGATCCACCTCTGATCTCTGTGTGTGTGTGTGTGTGTGTGTGTGTGTGTGTGTGTGTGTGTGTGTGTGTGTGTGTGTGTGTGTGTGTGTGTGTGTGTGTGTGTGTGTGTGGGTGTGTGTGTGTGTGTGCAGGTGAAGTGTTCGACTACCTCGTAGCTCATGGGAGGATGAAGGAGAAGGAGGCCAGAGCTAAATTTAGACAGGTAACACTCCCAAACCACCCGTCGCCACGGTAACGCAGACATCCCATAACCCAGAAGTAGAGCAGGTGGTTTTAGCAGGTCAGCCTGCCATAGAGCCTCTGAGCCAGGCAGCAGCAGAGGGCTGTGAGATAATATTCTTTTTTATTATTATTCAGGTTCAGGTGCTTGAAACCCTTGAAATCCTTGAATTCATTGAGTTGTTTCCAAGGTTTAGAAATTGTTTGATTTCTGTAAAGTCCTTAAAAATGCTGCACAGGTTTAAATAAATTTGATTAAAAGCCTAAATTTGGAAAAGTTATTTACAGTTGAACCCAGAAATATGACGGTAATAAAAAGAATTTAAATCAGATCAAACTTTCTGGTTTTAGGTTCGTTAGAATTACCATAAATATTTCTGTTTGCTAAAAGCCTGAAAACTTAACAGACATTTTTTTAGAGATTCTTGTGAAACGTTTTTGGAGCAGCCTGGTTTAATGGCTCTGTGTTAGTTTACCTTGATATTGATAACAGGAGTAAATTGTATATAATAAT